GTATCTAAATTTGGCATTAGAATACAAATGTAAATACTTTTAATGAGAATTTGCACCTTTTTAATGTTTTAACATAATTTTCTATTTGTCTTTATTTGAAGTACCAGAATTATAAAATAAGTAATATATTTTTGTTGTTTTAGGGCTTAAGGATTAATTCATCTGAGTATATTAATATAATAAAAAGATCACTAAAATGTTTTGTCACTTTTATTTCAAGATTATAATTAAAAAGCAATTTGTAAATTACATTTACTTTAATAAACATGCAAGTATAAGCCCAGAAACCTTAGAAAACAAATTGAAAATTGGTGAGAAAAGAGGCAGTGAATATTAAGTTGCCTTGAGAGAATTTGGCCCCTAAGATAAGTTATTTTTCAAAATGGGTTCACTGCTGAAGAAGCTAAACAATTTTAAGCTATGTACAGAGAAAATTATTGACCAATTTCATCCTGTAGAATAAATTAAGAATGTTCTGTAAATTTCCTAGTTGTGCCCAGTAGAGGATTACACTTTATAGTCTCTTCATATGTTTTTCCCTCTTTGAAAGATGGTATTTTGCTTTTCAAATAAGTACAAAGTCAGCATTATGTCTGTAGATTTGTAGAGTAGTAGTTTTAAGATTTTAAGCTTCTATCTACTTCTTTTTTTTTTTTTTTTAGAGAGACAGGGCATCTCTCTTGTTTAGGTCAGAGTGCAGTGGCCTGATGATAGTTCGCTGTAACCTCAAACTCCTGGGCTCGAAGCGATGCTCCTGCCTCAGCCTCCCAATGGCTGGGACTACAGGCATGCGCCACCACACCCAGCTAATTTTTTCTTTTTCCTCAGACGGGATCTAGGGTCTTGCTATGTTGCCAGACTGGTCTTGAACTCCAGGCCTCAAGCGATCCTCTCACCTTGGCCTCCCAAAGTGCTGGGATTTACAGGCATGAGCCACCTTGGCCAGCATAAAACTTTCAATAGGAAAAATATATGTAATTTTTTTCTGTTCTTGAATTAGATGAGGATTTTTTAAATAAGACAAAAAGGACAACTCTAAAAGAAAGACTGATAATTTGATTATTTTAAAATTAAAAACTGGGCATCAAGACACCTGAAAGGAATGGAAAACTGGGAGAAAATATAATTTATAACCAATAAAGAATAAGTATCAAAAAGAGAATTCTTACATATCATTAAAAAGGAATATGCACCTCACTAGCCTGGTTTGAAAATTGTAAATGAAAAGCGGTAAATAGTTTCAGAATATGGTGCTGCATTAGTTTTCTATTGCTGCAGTGACAAATAATCACCAGTTTAGTGGCTTAAAACAACACAAATGTATCACCTCACAGCTCTGTAGATAAAAAGTCTGACATGGGTCTCAGCGGGCTGAGACCAGGATGCTGTCAGGGCTGGCGCCTTTCCGAAGGTCCCAGAGGAGAGTCCACTTCCTCGCCTTCTCCACCGTCTAGAGGCTCCTGGGCTCCTGGCCCCGTCTCCCACCTTCAAAGCCAGTGGCTTAGGGCTGTGTACTGTTCCCTCTGCTCCACACCTGGTTCTCTGTCCTGCCTCCCACTTCTGCTTTTAAGGACCCTTGTAAGTACACTGGGTCTAGCAGGGTAATCTCAACATCAGCTGATGATCAATCTTAATTCCACGTGGAATCTTAATTCCCCTTTGCCCTGTAACTGAATGTTTGCACAGGTTCTGCAGATCAGGACATGGACATCTTGGGGAGCCCCATTATTCTGCCTACCATGCAGACCCAGTCATATGCCTAACGTCTATACCACATTTCAGAAAGTTGTAAAAGAAAATAACCTCAGAACCCCACCCCCTAACTCCTTAGGCAAGAAAGAAGGTGAAGGCCTCAGGCCCTTGGGAAGGACTGGCCCCACAGACCATTCATTAAGGAAATTCCTTGCCGGCTTGGGAGTAAGGACATCAAACTGTAACTTGAAGTCTGCAGGCTACATAGAGCTCCTAAAACTAAAATCTGTTCCATTCCACACTAATAATGAATTACAAGTGTCAATGAAAAAGAACCCAAACTCTGTCAAATAATTTAAAGAGGTTGATTCTCAGCCAAATATGCGTGACCATGGCCTCAAGAGCTATGCCCAGGAAGCCTTGAGCAAGTGGTCTCACCGTGGTTGGGTTACAGTTTGGATTTATACGTTTCAGGGAGACAGGAATTACACAGAAAGGCATAATTGAATACATTGAAGGTGTACATTGGTTTGGCCCAAAAAGGCAGGACATCTCAAAACATGGATTACAGGCTATGGGTGGGTTTAAAGATTCTTTGATCTGCAATTGGTTAAAGAAATGAAGATTTGTCTAAAGGCTTGGAATGTTTTAAGATAAGGAAGTCTGTTAATCAGAGACAAGTGATCTGTTAACTGATGACCTGCAGCAGTTTACTTGTGTGTGCATAACAAGACAGACGCCAGGCACCAAAGCCCACCACCGTTACATGTATGTGCATAAGACACAGACCCCAGCCAGCGAAGCCCACCACCGTTACACGTGTGTGCGCATAATCTTCCTAGAAAGCTCTGGGAGAGCGAACAAGCCTTTGCCTCGCGGGTCCGCAGGGCGCGGGGCGCGGCGCTCGGGAAGGGGCGGCCGGTCCGGTGCCGAGCGCCACGGTTGGGGTGGCTGGCGGAGCGCTCACAGCCAGGCGCCGAGGGGCCGTCCTGTCCGTCACGTCCAGGAAACGTGCAGAACTTCCCAAGCAAAACGAGCCGACCCAACCCCGCCCGGGCGCACGCCCCGCGGCCCACGCCACACTCCCGCGGGCGGAGAGGCCCAGGCCGCTCGCGGCGGCGGACCCTCTTCTCTATGGCACACGCTGTGGCTCGCGAGCGGCCGGGCGCGTTCTCTATGGCCTCTTCCGGCGCCGACCGGAAGTGACGCGCTGCGCCCCGGAAGCGCCAGGGGAGGGTGGCTGCGGGCGGTGGCAGCGCCATGGCGGCGGCGGCGGCTGTGTCGGAGGCCTGGCCGGAGCTGGAGCTGGCGGAGCGGGAGCGGCGGCGGGAGCTGCTGCTGACGGGGCCCGGACTTGAGGAGCGGGTGCGGGCGGCCGGTGGGCGGCTGCCGCCGCGGCTCTTCACCCTGCCGCTGCTGCACTACCTGGAGGTGAGCGGCTGCGGGAGCCTGCGCGCGCCGGGGCCGGGCCTGGCGCAGGGCCTGCCACAGCTGCACAGCCTCGTGCTCCGGTGCAACGCGCTGGGCCCCGGCCTGAGCCCCGAGCTCGGGCCGCTGCCCGCCCTGCGGGTGCTCGACCTGTCGGGCAACGCGCTGGAGGCGCTGCCGCCGGGCCAGGGCCTGGGCCCCGCCGAGCCGCCGGGCCTCCCGCAGCTGCAGAGCCTCAACCTCAGCGGCAACCGGCTGCGCGAGCTGCCCGCCGACCTGGCGCGCTGCGCCCCGCGCCTGCAGAGCCTCAACCTCACCGGCAATTGCCTGGACTCCTTCCCCGCCGCGTTCTTCAGCCCCGGCGCGCTGCCCCTGCTCAGCGAACTGGCGGCTGCTGACAACTGCCTCCGAGAGCTCAGCCCCGACATCGCCCACCTGGCCTCGCTCAAGGTCAGCGGGGGCTGCCCGGGCGGGGCGGGATGGGGCTTGGAGTAGTCTGGGGAGGGAACCCCTGTCGTGGCTGAACTGTCCCCGGTGACGCCCTGGCCTGGGGAATCCCTGCTCTGCCAGAAGGAGCCAACTCTAGTGGCATCACCTCTGGGAGGTCGTCCCCGACTTCCCCTCCACGTGACCAGGGTCACACGCTCGGTGGTCTCTGAACTCCCACCGCACTCTGTTCGCACCTGGACTTCAGCACTTGCCACACCGGTTCATCACCATTAACAAACTGGGCTTGTCTCTCAGTTCTTCAGCGGTTCCCTCTTGTCCCTGAAAGAAGCCCACTTGGCACTTCTTGGGGAAACCTTCTAAATAGGTCGCTGACTTGAAGCTGCCCTGGCCTCTGCTGCTTTCCAGGCCTGACGCGACGTGCCAGGACGGCGGAGGCAGGAACACACCCCTGGCTGGGGTTTCACATAGTGATGACGTTTCACCCCAGTGGAGCTCTCAGGCCTGTGACCCGAGTCCCTCAGGGCAGCCAGAAGCCTCCAGAGCTGACGGGTACACACAGCTGTGGACAGCCCGCTGCACTCGGACCTCCCACCCGGCCTTCATGTGGCTCTCGGGCCGCTATGCCATGCTGCTGGGCCAGCAGCCCCGGCTGGTCCCACCCTGCAGCTGTGTAGCCCAGACTTGTTCTGACGCGCTGGAGTCAGGGCTCTGAGAGAGGGCGGGGAGCGTGCCAGCTGGGGACACCGGGAGCGATACGGCTCGCGATGTTCTGTGAGGCCACCCTTCATCCTCTCCTGCAGGGCACGTGCTCCCCCTTTTACGCTGCAGCTGTCTGGGTTTTGTGGCGTCCCCTTTCTTCCTGAGTTTTTGCTCTCCCTTTGGGCGCTCTGAGCAGCCTGATCAATTGAGCCAGAGGATTCCGACAGATTCCTTTCTGGTCTCCTCCACTTGGGGCTTGACAGTCCCACCACGCTTGTCCTTGTACCAGCCCAAGCAGATGGGGTCTTCTGAGTCATCGGAGTCCCCCACTCCTTTCTGTTCAGAGTTAAATCCACTCCCTACGCCCGCCTCTCTCCTCCATCCCAGTGGGACCAGGACTCTCCGGCCACACTCTGAATTCAGGGTGGCCCATGTGGTGTCGCCTTGTCTCAGGGCAGGGCGCGGCGCCCACACTGCCGGAGACCACCCTTGGGCTCTCCCAGAGGGTCAGGGCTCAGCATCCCCCAGCAGGGCCGTCGGCAGCTTCCCAGTAGCCCCAGAGGAACGTGGGAAAGAAGTCTGTGCTTGTGGTGCCTAACTTGGGCTGAGGCTGCTGCCGGGACAGTCACCTCGGCCTGGGCACCAGGTCAAGAAACAGCAGGGGTGGCCTGGCCTCATTTCTACCTCCCATGGGGGAGGGGAGGGCGGGAAGCCTGCTGCTGCTGCTGCGGGGACTGCTGTCGTGAGCGACCCTCCCGCCCTGCCCAGGCTTGGAAGGACGTCCTGTGAATGCAGAAGGTGCCTCTTTGCCTTTCGTGTCATCTCAGGGATGCCAGCAGCATGTTTTGCGCGGGTCCGATCGGTAATAGTGACAGAAGGCACTTTCTCATGGGCCACAGGGCTTCCTGGGCGGCGTCTCGGCATGCACAGTGGTGGCCCCGGCCCTTTCCCAGGTGAGAGGAAGGGCTGAGCTCCCGTCGCCAGTGAAGCCAAGTCACGTTTTCCTTCCCATTTGAAATGTGAGAGCTCCGCGCATTTGCTGGTGACTTCATGCTTCAGTGTGAGAAAGAGTGATGCTGTTTCAAGATTTTGCTGTATTCCTTCTTTTAATTAATAGCTTGTTTAATTTTTTAAAACATCTTAGCAATATTTTGGGATCCCGTTTCCCACCTGAAGCAGTACTGACTTGTTCCTGAAGTGAGCTCACGTTTCATAACCAGACATCCCTGTCCCTTGTCACCTCTCTTTCTCTAACCTAACGACTGGTCAAAATGTCGCTGTGGTTTCCCCGACTTGTAATCAAACTACAGGCGTGAGGTGTTTGAGTCAGAAAGTGGCTTCGCAGAGGTTGTGGTCGTGTTGCTGACCCCTTCCTGTTGGAGGAGCTCCCTGGACAGTGATGTCCTTGTGGGGTCTAGAGTTGGAGGAAGTCACAGGTGCACAATGTCACAGCCTTGAGGTCTTTTCTTGGAGTCCAGGTCGTCTGATGAGTCCTTGGCTTCTCTTCGCAGACATTGGACCTCTCCAATAACCAGTTAAGCGAAATCCCGGCCGAGCTTGCCGACTGCCCCAAGCTCAAGGAGATCAACTTCCGGGGGAACAAGCTACGAGACAAGCGGCTGGAGAAGATGCTCAGCGGCTGCCAGACCCGGTCCATCCTGGAGTACTTGCGCGCCGGGGGCCGCGGCTGCGGAAAGGGCCGGGGCCGGGACGGCGCGGAGAAGGACGAGAGCCGCAGGAAGAGGCGAGAGAGGAAGCCCAAGCGGGATGGCGGCGAGGGGGCCGAGCAGGAGGCGGGAGATGTGGGCCGGCTGCTGCTCAGGGTCCTGCACGTCTCTGAAAACCCCGCGCCCCTGACGGTCAGGGTGAGCCCCGAGGTCAGGGATGTGCGGCCCTACATCGTGGGGGCCGTCGTGCGGGGCATGGACCTGCAGCCCGGAAACGCGCTCAAGCGGTTCCTCGCCGCACAGGTGGGTGCGTGGGGTCCTCAGGGGGCGAGGCTGTGACAGGCCGCCAGTGGGATGCGTTCGGCCGGTGTGTCCGAGAGAGAAGCCCAGAGTGCGGGGCTCAGCGGGGTGTCCAGGTGCCTCAGTTTCCTCGCTTCGAAAACAGCAACGGAGGGGTGTTGGTGAGGAAGACTCGAGGCAGGATCCGCCCTGCTGGCTCAGGAGGCCTCATGGCCCCGTCCTCAGTCCACAGCAGGGGCTGGGGAAGCTGGTCACCCAGCCATCGAGAGCACCCTCCGCCCTCTTGACACACGTCTGCTTGCCCCGCCCTCTGCTCCTCCAGGGGCATCGTTTATAGTGCGTCCTAGTTTCCGAAGACAGCTTTGTTACTGCCGAAAACCGGTGTTGCTTAAGTTTTCTGATACTTCAGTAGGTTTTCTGAGTTCCGCAAATAAATATACATTTGGTTTTATATAAGATAGTATTAAAATCAACTCTTGCCAGCACATCCTTACGTGAATTATTCAGTTTTTGTTTAGGTTTTGGCCAGACTACCTTCCCAGTCTGTTGTGTTTCTGTGGCGTCTGCCCAGCTTTTCACATAAAACGCACAGCTTTGCACAGGGTGAGGGGAGCTCCCGGTGTGCCCGGCGGAGGCAGCCCAGCCTCGTGGAAGGCCCGTGCTGCTGTCTGCAGAATCCTTGCAGTTTGGGGAGGAAGTGAACAGGCACGTCACGCCAGGGTTTTAGAACTTAAAAACCAGCGTTTTGGGAAAAAAACATGCTAGGGTGATTTTTCTTCTTAAAATCTTATATTTATTCAGTGTTAAATTTTAGTTCAAGATGGGCTCTTTGAAATCTCAAAATATTGTGTTCTAGAATTAGAGAGAGAAATTCTGCTGTTAGATAGCTTTCTGATGATGATTCCACAAAATAAAAACTTGTTTGGCCAGGCCAGGAGTCAGGGCAAGAGCCGTTCTATAAAGGCAAGTGACAGGGTGGGGGATGGTGTGGAGAGGCCTGAGGACCGGGAGGGTCCCCGGCTGTGCAGGCCTGGGTGAGGGTCTAAGGTGGACACCTGGCCATGCTTCAGGGCAAACGAAAGCTTTGCTTGTCTTTGCTTTTGTGTTTTAGACCAAGCTCCACGAAGATCTGTGTGAGAAGCGCACAGCAGCCACCATGGCAACCCACGACCTCCACACGGTCAGAGGGCCCCTGCTGTACGGAGCCCGGCCCCCGCAGGACCTCAAGGTGCCACAGCACTTGCCTTAGTGTCTTTCCAGAGACACGTATGCTGGTGGCTGAGCCAAGCATTTTAAAGTAAACTGACACTGCCGCTTACAAAGCCACGAAATGAAATAATAAAACAGGCCGTGTTTGCAGTTATTGTTTTTTTTTTTTTGAGACAGAGTCTCACTCTCTTGCCTGGGGCGAGTGCCGTGGCGTCAGCCCAGCTCACAGCAACCTCAAACTCCTGGGCTCAAGCAGTCCTACTGTCTCAGCCTCCCGAGTAGCTGGGACCACAGGCACACGCCACCATACCCAGCCAATTTTTTCTACATATATTTTTAGCTGTCCAATTAATTTCTTTCCATTTTTTGGTAGAGACGAGGTCTCGCTCTTGCTCAAGCTGGTCTCGAACTCCTGAGCTCAGAACGATCCGCCCGCCTCGGCCTCCCAGAGTGCTAGGATTACAGGCGTGAGCCACCGGGCCCGGCCTGCAGTTATTGTTGAAAGCAGTTGTGTGACTCTCAGAATGTTCAGCAAAGCAGGCAGTAATTTGAAAGGGGTTTCCTTTGTTTGCCCGTTAACTTTTAACCAAAAATTTTGGTTTATATCCCACTTGCAAAACCCCTGACTTTAGTGGGGTTGACTTTAGTGTGAGTTGCTGCGTCCTGGTGCCGTCCCCGGGTGTGGAATTCTGCACAGCGCACCGGGTCCCTGGGTGTCGGGGGTCCCCTGCCAGCCTGTCTCTCTCGAGATCGGACAGACCTTTGGAGATGCAGTTGTGCGTCGGCCAGAGAGCTTAGGGTTAAGCTCAGCTTTAGAAGTATTTGAGTGTTTGAACATCAGACCCCCACGTGGCCTCTGAAGACACAGCCTGCCCATAGCTTCTTGTCACGTGGTCGCGTGGGGTGAGGTGGTCGGCCCCTCCCTGCTACACAGATGAACGAGAGGGTTAGGGTCAAGACGGGTGAGTGCCGTGGCTGTGGTCCTAGTGGGGTCTGTGGGTTTCTGCCTGATAGATCGTCCCCTTGGGGCGGAGAGAAGCCAAGGCCAAGGAGCTGGTGCGGCAGCTGCAGCTGGAGGCCGAGGAGCAGCGGAAGCAGAGGCGGCGGCAGAGCGTCTCGGGCCTGCACAGGTCGGTCTGGGGCCCGCTTTAAACATGGCGCTCGTCCGGGCCTGGTCGCTGCTTCCGCACAAACTCGGGCTTCGAACACTCTGTTCTCGGAAGCATGTTAAACGTGTGCCCTTGATACTGCGCTTCACGTGTCTAAAGAGCTCTTCACGTGTCCAGCGTAACCATTAGGTGTGTTTATAGTTACGCCTTTCATTTGTGTTTCTTCCCGCACAGGTATCTTCACTTGCTGGATGGAAAAGAAAATTACCCTTGTCTGGTGGACGCGGACGGCGACGTGATTTCTTTCCCACCAATAACCAACAGCGAGAAGACAAAGGTGGGGCGGTGCGCGTGAGCGTGCTGCGTCTTCTGGGCCGTTCCGGGCAGAACGAGCACAAGTGTTCGCTCCGTGGGCGAGTCCCGTTGTTTAGTGCGATGGGAAATGCAGACCGCGAAGGGGAGGACGGGCCCTCGCTCCCCAAGAGCGTGCGTCACTGGTCACGGTCTGTGCTGCGCGCCAGCGCGGAGTGGCCGGGTGCACGGCGTCCCAGTTTGGGTGGAAAGCGGCAGCCTTGGCTTCTGTGCGACTGTTTTACAGATTTTTCTTCAGAATGAATGTTGTAGTTGCTGTTGTCTACTTTCAATAACTTTATTTTCTGAAATCTCTCTTCTTTTTAAGATTAAGAAAACAACTTCCGATTTGTTTCTGGAAGTGACAAGCGCTACGAGTCTGCAGATCTGTAAAGATGTCATGGACGCCCTCATTCTGGTGAGCAGGCATGTGGCGGCTGCTCCGCGTCCTCCCGCCGGTCTACACGGCTGGGCCGCCTCCTGCTTGTTGCATTGGGTTATACACATCTTCCCTGGGTCACCTCTCGTCCCTAGGTTAAAAAGATGTTTTCCTTTACAGAAAATGGCAGAAATGAACAAATTTACTTTAGAAAATAAAGAGGAAGGATCACTCTCAGATACCGAAGCTGATGCAGTTTCTGGACGACTTTCGGATCCCAAAATAAATCCAGCTGCTGGGAAGGACGGGCAGTCGCTGCTGGTGGTGGAACAGGTCCGGGTGGTGGACCTGGAGGGGAGCCTGAGGGTGGTGTACCCGTCCAAGGCCGACCTGGCCACCGCCACCCCCCATGTGACCGTCGTCCGCTGACGACCAGGTCCAAGACTCTGCTCAGCAGGTCCCTGTCTGTCGTGCCTGTTTCACAGAGGTTTCTACGTGGTGACATCGTCATCGTTTTCACCTCCGTGTTCTTTACGATGTATGTAGTCTTTGTTGTGTTTTTCCAGATGATTCTGTTGTAAGTGATGCTATGTTGTCATTACGGTACCAGGCTGGTTTTACCGTTTCTTATGAAATTATCCAAATACCAGGATTAACTGTTCAAAATGTTGTTAATCATGTAGACACACAGCAAATAACTCTACTTCAGGAAAAAAGACACTAGACAGTCACGCGCCGCATAGCGATGTTTCAGTCCGTGACGGACCGCTTACCTGACGGTGGCCCCATAGGTGGCGACGGAGCGTGCTGTGTGTTCAAACCTGGCACGCAGCCCTCGATGCTGGCTCTGCAGACCAAGCAAGGGACGTGGCTGATAGTAATGGTGCTGGGGCATTTGGTTTTCCATATGAAAAAACATGTATACATAAAAATGTGCATGCCGTCGGGTTTGTGTGAGTACACACTCTAGTGTCCACACAACGGTGAACATTTCCGCATTCAGCGACGCACGACTGTAATTGGTTTGAATATCCGGTTACGAATTGGGAAGCTGACTGCCGTGTACTTTCTTGAACTGCACAATCATTTTTCTATGATGTAGCATCTTTTAAATCATAGTGTGCCAGTTTGGAGCTTGGAAATGTGCAAGGACATTGTGTTTTCCAGCTTGCAGTGATCGTAATCTTTCTACAAAAACAGGTTTTTTTAATGTGACTTTGGAATTGGCAGAATTACTTTTCTTAGAATTGCTGTTGGAATGCTGTCGCGGGGGTAGAGACGTTTGGACCCCCCAGCTAGGCGGCCCCCCGGGTCTGAAGGCTGTAGCAGGACTTCGCCCAGGTGCTGCGGGGCTGCGCAGAGGCGGGGAGTGTCGGGAAGTTCAGTCCTTTGCACGGTAGCACCAGTGACAGACAGAACCCTGCCTCTGGGTGGACATGCCGGTTCAACCGGCCAGCTCCGTTGGTTGGTAGGCCGTCAGCAGTTGTCAGCGAGCCGAGGGACAGTGGCAGTGACCCGAGGACATGTAGGTTTTCAAGCCAAAAATCATAGTGTGCACATGCCAAAGGAGTGGTTCTTCAGCATTTTATATCCTAGACGTTTCCAGTTTTGCGTGTCTCCACTCGCAGACCACCTGTGTCTTTGCATGTCGCGTGTCGCTGCCGGAGCACACGCACACACCCTCCCTGGAGGCAGAGTGCGCTTGGGTCCTGAGGACCCGGCCAGCCACAGAGGAGGTGGCTTTCACTGCCCCACTGCCTTACGATCTGCTGCAGCGTGAGAAACTGCCTGTCCTGCTCTCGTTTGTTAATGACACTATTTGTGTTCCGTTCACTGGTCTTTGACCTAAAAGGATAATTTCTGTGTTCTGTAGAAATGACCGATGATTTTTGGAGCATTGGCAAGAGCTCAGACCAGACAGGCCTGGGGTCCCAGGCAGTGGGCAAACTGACAGCGCTCGGTGGTTTGTCCAGAGCCTGTAAGACACAGGCTGGGCTGCCTTGAGACCCAACCCCGTCGCCGGGCCACTGCCAGGCCTTCCGTCAGTCCGGCTGGAGGGGCTGCAGACGGAAGGTGGAGACGAGGACGAGCTCCGTGCCTGGCCAGGCTGCGGCAGGGGCACCAGACGCCAGCTTTGCTCTCTGTTGTTGCCCCCAAACCCACCCCATGTCTGCATGTGTTGGTGGCCCCAGCTTGTCATTTCCTGACACTCTGTTGGGCAGTCAAGGCTAGAGGCTGAGGCAGCTTCCCCAGGCCAGGACTCCGCCTGAGCTCAGGGCCGGGGGCCACAGACAGTTGCTCCGGGGGTCACTCTGGGCTGCTCTGCGGAGGGTCACCCTTCTCTGCATGGCCCAGCACAGCACGGGAGGGTGAGAGGCCTTCTTGGTGCCCCAGGACTAAAGGGCTCAGCGGCCTCATTGCAACAGATGTCACCTCACTGATGTGGACAAAGCCACCAGCTCCTGCCACGCTCGTTCCTGAGGCAGCGGTTACGTGTTTGATTTTGGAGATGTGTTTAACTTACAACAGAACCTGCTTTGAGGTTCTTTTTCTTTGCCCATCTGACTCGCTAATAAAAACATTTACTAACGTCTCAGCTCCTTGCCCAGTGGTTCTTTCCGCCAGTATTTCCAGAGGTCGTTGCTGGTAGCGTCATAAAAATCCTTTCTAGCACAGTGGTGGTTTACAAGTGGGGAAAGTGAGGGCCTGGGGCCTGGGCAGTATAGCCTGCTGCCCCCGCCCAGATCTTGCCAGCAGGACCCAAGAGGCACCTAACTGCTGTCACCGAAGCCCGAGTCCTCGCCCACCCCTGCCTGCAGCACGGGGACGCTCCGCCTGGTGGCACATGCAGAGGAGCCCAGGCGCCCAGCCCACCCCCGCAGATCCTCCTGGGAGGAGAGGCCGGGTGGCCACTTGGCAGGGTCCTGTCCCATCTTCTCCCCAACCCTGTGCGTTGTGACGGTGTCCAGCCCCAGCATACAGCCCCAGGGTGGTGGGGTCGGAGCCACTGCTGCCACCCTGGCCACTCCAGGGTCTGGATGGGGCCTGGGGTCACTCGTGGAGGCAGCTCGGGTGGAGGCTGTGGGCAACTTGAGTGCCCGGCCGATGAGCCTCCCCCACAGGGGCTGCTAGGGGAGCCCCAGGCCGAACACGCCAGCATCTGCCGGGGGTGGGCCCAGGGTGCACCTGGCCGGGTCTGGGGCAGACCCCCGTGTCAGCCTCTGCCTTCTGCCACACACCACTGACCGGGCAGGCAGGAGCGTGTGCGAGGACACGTGGGCGCCGCCTGCGAGTGCCACACCAGCTGGAGAAACTCCCAGGTCACGTCCCCTCTGAGGCTGGGCCAGGCACCCCTCCTCCCTCTGTCCTGTCCCCTCACTGGGCTCCTGGCCAGAGCCCCCCAGACCTTGGGGAGGCCCAGCCCCTGGACCTCCAGAGCCCACCAGAGGCCATGCAGCCTCTGTCACATGCTCACAGCCCACGGCAGTGCCCCCAGGGCAGGGCTCCAGGGAGGGCTTCCACGCAGGGGTGGGCAGTAGCCCAGAGACTGCCCTGACCCCGCAGCGGGCACCCAAGGAAGCACCGTCACCTGGAGACCCCGGCCCAGGACAGGCCCTCCTGGCCCCCCTCCTCAGGGTCTCAGCCAGGGAGCTTGGGGCAGTGGGCAGCAGGCCTCTGGCCCCGGGCAGACCTCAGGTGGGTCTGCTCTCCCCAAAGGTGGGTGGGATGGGGGGTCTCTGCCGCCAGCCCACCCAGGCCGAGGCCCTCCGTTTACTTGCCCCGACATAGTGAGGAGCACTTGGAGGGCTCCCAGCCTGGGGGTGAGTGTAGCCTCAGCCTTCCGACGACAGTCTTGCCCCGTGGCCTCCCTTCTCCATGCCCGTGAGGACACTGGCTGCCCATGTCTCCCACCCCTAATCCTGGGGTAGGCAACACTTCCCTAAAGGGGTGTTTCTGGCCAGGGTCTGCAGGGCCCGAGGCAGACTTTGCGGAAGGCGAGGGCCAAGCGTGTGGCCCCAGAGTGGGAACAGGTCCAGCCACATCTTGGACCTCAGGCCTGCCCCTGTCCTCACCAGAAGGCCCCGCCAGGAGGGGGCACATTCCAAGGCTGAGCGCCAGACAGGGGTCCTACCCAGGAGGAGCAAGCCCATCCCATAGGCCTACGAGAGTCACACCGGGCCACAAACTGGCAGAAGCTCACCCAGCAGACGTTTAATGATGCCTTTGTGCACAAGCTCGGGCCTGCAGACAGGCCTGGGGAAGGAGAGGCAGACCGGGGTCCTCCCTGGCAGTGGCCGGCCCCGGGGGTACACACGCCCAGCCCGTGAGGTGGGCAGCCCAGGAAGCACCCGCCTGCTTCACTCAGGGAGACCCGGCGGTGGGTCTGGGACAAGGGCCGAGGCCCCCTCCCTGCTCTGTGCAGGAAGTGCCTTCCGGGGCTGGTCTCAGTCCCCAAGGGAAGGGTGGGGGACCCAGCCCTCGGAGCCATCCTTGTACACCCGGGAGTCAGAAAGGCCCGGAGAGCTCTGCACAGGCCCCCACGGGGAGGAGGGCAGTGGGAAGGACCCTGCCCTGAGGGCCACCAGGGAGGTGGGCTTGGGGTATCTGCAGAAGGCACCCCTTATCCCAGCCTCAACAAAGGAAGGGCTTAGGCCCTGGCTTGGAGAGATTGGCCACCTGCTGTGACCAGGGGCTCTGGGCCTCAGGGCCCGGCCTGGGTGTGTCCTGCAGCTCCGGCTGAAGCTGGGACCAGCTCTCCCAGCCACGTGCCTTTGGGTGGTGGCACATGACAGGGTTTGTCTCTCAGTCCTTTAAAGGACTTGTGTGCACCCTCGTGTTGGGCCTGTGACACCCGTGGCCCTGGTGTCTTCGTAAGCCTGGGTGCCAGCACATGTCCCTGTGTCTGTCTGCCTCTGGGGCCCATGTACATGAGAGGGGTCTGTGTATACAGGGGGGTCTTTGTCACTGGGCCTGTTTATATGGGGCATCTGTATATTTGAGGGCGTTTATGTAACAGTCTGTGTATATGGGGGTCTGTATTGTGGGGTGTGTGTATACAGGGGGGTCCATGTATACAGGGTATCCCTACGAGCCTGTGCCCTGAAGCGTGTGCAGCCAGCCCTGACTGCACACACCGGGCGCCCTTATTTGCACTTGTGCACGTAGTAGCCGGTGACGTAGCCCAGGATGAAGATGACCCAGAAGAGGACCACTCCGCCCAGCACCTTCATGGCGACCCCCAGCTTGCCCCTGCACAGCTTCTGGGAGATCCTAGGGGGAGAACCACCCGGAGGTGAGCCCCAGGTCAGGGTGCAGGAAGGTCCCCCTGAGTGGACTGTAGGGGGTTGGGCCGGGTCAGGGGGAGGGCAGGCCCCAGGGCAGGAGGGTCCCAGTGCAGGTGGTCCCGAGGCCAGGCAGCCAGCAAGGTTGGGAGGAGGGCCCTGGGCAGTCAGCCCGGCTGCAACAGAGGGCTGGGCACCGTGGGCAGATGAGGCAGGCAGCAGGGACAAGGCAGGTGTCTACGCAGGGAGTGACCAGCCTGCTGGGCCAGGAGGGCTCCTCCTCCCAGGCCCCCTCACCTCTGGCAGCACGAGGGCTCCTCTGTGCTGGACACGGCTGCCACGCTGACTTGGTCCAGGCTGCTGTCATCCCACCTGCTATAGTGGACACTGCTCTCCGGGGGCTGCATGCTGCAGGGCTGCGGCAGGAGGGGCAGAGCCTTCACGAGTGGGGAGACCAAGGCAGGCGTCGGGGCTCTGACTTGGCCACAAAGCACAGGGTCAGCCTGGGGATGGAGAGGGGGCACTCAGGGGTCTTCGCCTGCATAGTCTCATCTGACTTAGCAGGTAACCTGGATGCAGAGTGGTTAAGCAATTGCCCAGGGCCACACCAGTAAGACAAGGCCAAGGAGGAATTCCAACCCAGCTAGGCTGAAAGCCCTGACCTCAGGAATGTGAGGCCTGTCGGGCTGCCCCGACCCACCCATGGCCTCCCCTCCCCCCAGAGCCACCCCTCCCCTTCCTTTATCAAGAGAGGCTTCACAGCTGGTGCCACCCTCATGCAAGCCCAGGCTGCTTGCAGCCCTGATAAGTTCCTCCTCAACCCTGCCAGATGAGGCCCCAGCACTGACCCCGCTGAACCCTGGGCAGGCTGGCAAGGAGAGGGATGGGCAGGGCAGGGCCCGGCGGGAGACCCGGGGGCGGTGGCTGGCACGGCCAGGCCAGACTGGTCTCTGTCCAGGGAGGAGGCCCCGGCTGGCCCCGGCAGCCCAGCAGCTGCGTCCTTGGCCTGTGTGTGGGGCCGCCCCTCCCCCACCCACCGTCTGGAGGGTCCAGGGCTTGGGGGGCGCGCTGTGCTGAGCGCTGGGCCCCTGTGCAGAGGTGGGAGGGCAGTGGGACCCAGTGGGTGCCAGGAGCAGGAGGGGAGCCAGCTCCGCTCCCTGATGGGTGCCAACACACTGGTCACTGTGCCAGGCACCCCAAGTGCCTGGAGAGGCAGAGAGTCGGGACTGAAGTGGGGCTCAGAGAGCAGAGCAGTAACTCGCTGTCACGTGTCCCGCTGCTGGCTGCCCGCAAGCCTGTGCTGGGTGCTCCACGCAGAGCGTCTTGTTCGCTCTGGACCTCCGTTAGGGCCTTTGCCCAGCCCGTGGGGTTGGGGTTGGATCTGCCGTCTGCTGGGCCCCCAGTGTCCCCTGACAGCACCTGGCCCCAGCTGTGGGGGTGCTCCGGCAGGCAGCAGCAGGCCCTCCCCCCACGGTGGGGAGGAATGACCTTTCTCCCAGGTAATCTTGCACGCACAGGCTTAAAGGCACATGGACTGCTGACCCGCAAGAAGCCAACCCTGACACTCAGGACCCAGGCAGCTCTGAAACGCCCGACACGCTGTGTTTGCTCCTTCCCAAACCCAGGCCAGTGGCAGGAGAAGGCAGCTGTCCCAGAGTCACAAGGCCTGCCTTCAGGTGGGAGCCCTGCTCGGGGCTGGCGCTCGGGCCCAGGGGAGGCTGAGCGGTTAAGGGAGCTGGCTGTGCTTTCCCAGTGTGTTGAGATGTCTATTGGCCAACTGGCAGCTGCCTACCCGAGGTTCCCCCTCCCTGCTGGTGGGCAGAATCCAGTCTTGTTCCAGCAGCAATATGCCAGCCCCAGGAGACAGCTATGACCTGACACTGAATACCCTCAGGCCCTGTTTTCCCAAGTCACCCACCCAGCTGTGAGCAAAGGGCCAGGGTGCAGCAGGAGAACAGGGGAGCTTTTGCTTCCATGAAAGAAACTGTAGCCACCTCCTCCCTGCCTTGACGTGATGGCTGGAGCTGCAGCAGCCGCATTGCAACCCGGATGTCCAAGCAACAAAAGCACTGATAACAGCTGGGTCTCCAAATCCAATCAGCAACTGCCCACCTATGGGCTTCTCCGTGTGAGGAGTCAACCCCAATTTGTCCAAGCCCGGGCTAGCAGGTTCCTGTTACTTGCTGACTGATGCAGAATATGTGGCTCTCAAGTCATCCTGGTGGACAAAGCGACCAAAGCTAGTCGGGTGCCTAGAGCTGGGCTCTTGAGGGT